ATCAAAGAGCCAGGCTCGCCTGCAGATTACATTCGCAGTCGCAATAAAGAGAAAATCAGGATGTTTTACCAAGCGGTGCGAACCGACGAAAATTTTGCCCCAACCAGGTATCACAGGCGGTAGGTGGGAAGGGGAGTAACACTAGACAGTCGGTGCAAGCCTGTCTTTCTATGCACGAAAAAATTTCGTGCAGATCATGGAGGTCTGCAGGATAGACGGCATGTCCTTGCGGTTGACTGCAAGGTGGTGCTCATGCAGTCTTGTGCCAAGACGCTTGCCCGTTTCACCAAAATACCTCGCATCACAGTTCTGACATGGTATGCTGTGGACCACCGGTGATTGTTCTGTCACTGGTAGCTGGTCTTTGGGCCCCATTATTTGCTGTCTGATTGTTGACTCCGGTTTATGAGCCACACCGATCCCCAAAGGCTTCAGGATTCTTGTTGTCGCCTCTGATACGTTTTCCACATAAGGGATTGCGAGTCAAAATTTTGGAGTTTTCTCCGCCCGACTGCTCAGGGTGGGGCTTCCTAAGACACTTGCGTATGAAGGACTTGGGAAAACTGTTGGCTCCATATAGGGCGTGCAAGTACTTAATCTCCTTTTTCCTCCCATTGTCGTCGCTGTAGTGTGTTTGAAGGCGTTGGAGGAGGGTTCTAACATAACTGCGTTTGTGACCAACGGGGTGGTTGCTTCTGAAGTGAAGGATTCGCCTAGTGTTAGTTGCCTTACAGTAGACCATTGTCCTCATTTTCCCGTCTTCCAGCTTTGTCACTTGTGCGCCAAGGAAGGCTAGCCGATTGCTGAGCTCTTCTTCCATAGTAACCTGGATGTCGGGAAAGATTGAATTCAACTGTGAATTCAATTTGCACATCGCTCCTTTTGATGATGACGAAAGTGTTATTGACGTATCTGACCCAGAACTCCGAGGAGTACGATCTGAAGACCAGCCGCTCGAGCCTTTGTAAAACCGCTTCGTCAATTAATCCAGACAGAGGCGAGCTCATTGGTGTCCCCTTCCTTTGCTCGTAGACCTGGCTGTTGAATGAAAAGAACGTCTTAAGACATAGTTTTAGGAGCTCAGTGATGTGAAGTCGATTGAGCTGTTGATCGGTCTATCATACTTTTACCGGAGAAAGCCGTCAATACTGTCGATAGCCAGCGCGGGTGGGATGGAGGTGAATAATGAGATCACGTCAAAACACACCATCACGTCATCTGCCTCTACTTCGAGACGTTTGATGCCCGCCAAACAACTCTTCAGCCGACTTCACTGTCCACTCTGAATCCTTGGTAGGGGAACAAAGTCGCTGGTACAGCCACTTTGACAGCCCAAATGTTGGGGTACCACGTAAGGAGACGATAGGGCGTAGCGGCATCCCCGGCTTGCGGACTTTTGGTAGGCCGTAGAAGCGCGCCATTGCGACATCACTGGCTATTGCGGCCAGCACTTCCTTTCGATTAAGAGCGCCCGCCTTCCTCAGCCTGCCGATCGTTTTGTTTATGCTGTTTACTAGTTTTTTGAACTTGGTGACAGTCGATGGCGCATAAGCTTTCTTGTCCATCAAGAGGTTGCCTAATTTTGTACAGTACTCAGCCTTATCCATGACGACAGTCGAGCGCCCCTTGTCGGCGGGCAGGGTGACGATATCCTCTAGTTGTCGTATTTTCAAAAGTTCCCGATCTTCTGCCTTCAGAAGCAACCACTCCCTTGGTCACAAACGCAGTTGTGTCAGGACCCTCCTCCCACGCCTTCAAACACACTACAGCGACGACAATGGGAGGAAAGAGGAGATTAAGTACTTGCACGCTCTATTTGGAGCCAACGGTTTTACCAAGTCCTTCATACGAAAGTGTCTTAGGAAGCCCCACCCTGAGCAGTCGGGCGGGGAAAACTCCAAAATTTTGGCTCGCAATCCCTTATGTGGAAAACGTATCAGAGGCGACGGCAAGAATCCTGAAGTCTTTGGGGATCGGTGTGGCTCATAAACCGAAGTCAACAACCAGACAGCAAATAATGAGGCCCAAAGACCAGCTACCAGTGACAGAACAATCAGCGGTGGTCTACAGCATACCATGCCAAGACTGTGATGCTAGGTATGTTGGTGAAACGAGGAAGCGCCTTGCCGTGAGCACCAGCTTGCAATCAACCGCAAGGACAAGCTGTCTATGGTTTATGGCCACGTACAACAGCAGAACCACAATTTCGCATTTGAGAAGGCAAGGGTAATCGGCCGAACCAATGATAAGATGGCCAGACTGATGCTCGAAGGTTGGTCCTCGACTGGCACACTCAACAGAGCCATAGATCTGCATCCTGTTTGCGCTCTCACTCTTTTCCTAATCAAACAAGTGGCTAAGTCAGGTATGTTAATTGTATTGTTCAGACGGAGTGCTTTTTTGACGGTTCGCGTACAGGGCCCACACACTGCTGAGTCACGTACCACTTAAGTATAATTTTTTTTCGGATGGAAATCGAGGCAGACGTCCAGGAGAGTTACTATTGGAAAACCAGCACGTATGAGCAAACGCCCCACCGTTATCGGTATTTTTTTGAAAAAACATGTTTTGGGGTTTCAGTAAACATCACTCGAGTTTTTCACGCACACTACATATCGATAGCTAGTCGCATTTTTCAGTGTTTGACCGAAGGCTACTTTCTTTTGTTAGGCGCACTATTTTTTTGGCTTGGTATTTTCAAAGTTACTTAAAAAACCCTGCAAGTTTCCCTGTTTTGCCCGCTACCCCACGTCCAGTGGTGGCAGCAGTACTCTCAGTTTCGTAGTCTAGCATCTCTGAGAACGCCAAGACCGGTGACTTTTCTGCTTTTATCTGGTGAGTAGTGCCGTCCCCGATGCTCCCATCTATCGACTTGCCGCCGCCACCGGTAAACGCCAGGGTCAGCGCCCTATTGGTTGGTTACGCGGCGTTGCTAGGCGAACAGTGACGGACAGTCACGACCAACAACTCGGTATCGCCCTGCTTCGTCTTTCCGAGACCGCAGACTCCATTAAATCTGGTGATCTCCTCTGGTGCAGACCGAATACCACCGACCCCCTGCCCGACGAGGCCACTGAAGTGGAGAACCTGGAGGAGGGTGTCATCCTCCGTCCCTTTGCGCCATCCTGGTGGCCTAAAGACATTGCCCCTGATCTGCCCACGAACCTGCAATGATTGGCTGGCGCCTGTTCCCCCGTCGACTACCTCTTCCCCTTACTCCTGCCTCCTCCCCCCACTGCTTAACCTGTACAGGTTCTTCTACCAACTTGATCCATCTCTTTGTAGCCCAACTTGTAGAAACAATTACTTCTAAGGAAAAGAGTCAGTCTTTATAGTAATTTTCTCGTGTTTCCAGCTCGTTCTTAAGACACCGGTGATCACAGTCGTGCAGCCGTTTGCTCGGAAAATATACTTTGTTTCCTGAACAGCGACTCTCACTTTTTGAGAAGGGGAAACACTTGGGATGCGTTGACGTCATAAAGGTAGGAGGACCTCAGGCTTAAGTACCGGATGCGGTTGTGACTGTAGTTGAGGAGCTCGTAGTCGATCCCCTGTAAGATGTTCGGCCGAAAGAGTTCATACTACTAGGCGCCGTCAACACCCTCCCCCTTTGAGGAGAGTTACTTTCAGTGCTGGCAATCAATCATAGACCTCCCTGATTTAGCATTCTAGGCTTTGTTCTCAATTTTAACACGCCGTTTCGACCAAAGACATTTTTAGTGGTTTTTAATTGGCGGTTGGATATTTTCATGTGCTCTTTTTCGGTGAAGCCGTAGCTTATGCGTGAGATTGCTAACGCTCGTATCGAGAGAACTTCCTCCCTGGGATCTGTGGCGGTCATTGCTAAGCCTGGGGTGTTGCGTGGTTACTTCCAGCATATGACACTAACATGTCTACTGACGGTCAATCAGTAGGCGTTGCGGATTGAATATGCTTTCTGGGACAGAAGTTTAACATACTAAACTCGTGCGTTAGCGTCGGGTGCCCCATCGAGGCGTCCTCCGATTGCCGCTAGTTGTCAATATTTCCTCATCCCGGACTCGTGCAGTTGAGATTCGCGTCGACCCTGACTTAACAGCAGGTGACCCAACGCTAATTCCGGGGTTCAGCGATCCGATTCCCTGTAAGCAAGTTGTCTTCGTGCTCATTTCTCTTCCATAATCTATATCAAGAGAATAACTGGTAACCTGGCGTTTTAGCAGACTGGGGACGGTCTGCTCTAGTTTTTTGATTGATAAAAGGGGAAATGTGAATTTTGCTGGCGCTAGGGAAGGGGAGAGGAGGACAGCCAACTGGTGTTTGGGGGACCGCACAGCTTCCAATCTCCTGTCCTGAAATTACCTCGCACATCGCATGAGTCATCAACTGGCAAACATTTAATTGGAACCTGAGTCTCTGGTGGGGACGCAACCACACGGTGTATTGCTGTGGCACCTGCAAGCGGGGTCCTGCACAGCAACCGTGAGACCCGCGTACCTGGACGTTGATTGGCTAGTGATTACCAATAACTGTCACTTGTTCTGCAGTCTCTGAAGGTGGCCTCCGACACGATTTCGAAAGTTCAGAAAAAGTAACAAACGACCGCGGTGTTTTGTCAGTCACCCTCCTTAATCATAAAGCTGCACTTCATAAGAGGAAAGGCTTCGCATGGTTGTGCAGTATTGGGCTCGGAGGTGCCCAGTGTTTCGCACTTACGTAACAGCGCAAATTGTGCAATTCGGATTCGAGTGAAGGAAACACGAGTGTCATCCAGTTCAAACCCCCTTTACCACCGCAAGAGTTGTCCCCTGTTGAGATCGGTAGGAGCAGAATGCGCCGCTCGACGTGGCGTGCAATGGCCCTCCCCACTGCACTAACCTAAAGTGCGTTTCATAGGAAGCTTTACAGGCCCTCTCATGTGTTGTCGCAAACAGTTTTTCAGCTCATCCAGTGTGAACTTGAACAGTTGCAAGTAATAAGTCTACTGAGGCAGTTTTATCGTCCCGGTAAGCTCGCTGAGTGACGCAGAAAACCCGAAACGTCAAAGGAATCCCCTCAAAAGGACTTCAACTTAAATGTGTATTTGTGTGCGGCTATAAAACTGATATACAGAGAAGGAGGGGGGAAGAAATTTCGATTTTACAAATGTTTATTAACACCTGCGTTTCTTGAGACCCAACCTGCTTTTGAGCTTGTTTTTAGACACCGAAATTTACTCGTTACGCTCTTTTTGCTAGGACATTTCACCCAACCTTATCCGACGAATACAAACATCATTGCATACGACTGCAGCAGCATTAGAATGCTTAAGGGTGCCAAGAATAATTAAAAAAGACCCCAAAAAGTCAGAATTATGAACTTTTCACAGAACAGTACTAGTCCTGTTTTCCGTGAGTTGAGTATGTAAATTAAGATTGATACAGGTGGCTTAAGTGATGTTTATCCGAAAGCCAGCATGATGTGCGTAGGAGTTGAATCGAAACTACCCGTTGTCCATGTCGGCATTGCAACTTTACCTAAGTAATATGGGCAGTTTTGTGTATTTGCGCTCAAATTTCTATTCCCACTGGCTTTCCATGCGATCCGTCTCATACGGTATGGTGAAAGACAGAATATCATCTACTTCGCCTATAATAGGGATCATATCTTCTATATAGGCAGTGTGTTATTACCGACAAAGACAAGGGAGACTGGAATGGCCATTTCTGGCTTATTAGCCGTCGTCAATCAGTCGTACTCAACCCCGAAGTGTGAAACACCCGAGGCTCGAACTCGCAACCTGTTAGTTAGAAGTCCACGCCTCTAACCACTGGGCCACGAGTCCGTTGCCTTGTCGATTTTAGATCGGGAATATACAATGGCAGGGGGCGCTCGCCGATCGTTCTTACGAAACTCACTCGTTCCGTTGTGCCTTACAGGCGCTCTCTCTCTCGAGCGTATTGTATATTCCCGATCGAAACCGACAGGACAACGGACCCGTGGCCAGTGGTTAGAGGCGTGGACTTCTAATTAACAGGTCGCGAGTTCGAGCCTCGGGTGTTCCACACTTCGGGGTTGGGTATGACTGGCTGACGACGGCTAATAAGCCAGAAATAGACATTCCAGTCTCCCTTGTCTTTGTCGGCAATAACACATTGCCTATATATCATCTGCCGCTGTGCGGCTGCTAGGTGTTCTCGAGAGAGAGAGAGAGGGAGTCCGTAAGGCACCTAGGAACGAGAGAGTTCCGTAAGAACGATCGGTGAGTGCCCCCTACCATAATATCTTCTGTCTAACACAGCCGAAGTTAACAGCAAAGTAGAAATGCATTAAATATTTTTTGTAGGCTAAAATCCTGTAATATTCTAGATAGTTAAGCTGGGGAACGTGAGTACGACTCTCTCTCCCGTATTGTAGGTGGTCTTGAGCTAGATTCCAAGAAGGTAGGTTTACGAGGGTCAGTTTTAGGTTTGAGATTAATGTTCGACCATGAGACTACCTTGATACCTGTAGTACGGAGGTCGGTAGATATTCTGGCGCTCGACTGCAGTTGATGTTAATCGAGTTCTGTCCTCGATGAGGGTTTGACCTCTGTCGGTTTCAACGCAGAACAACCAATCGAACTGTGATAATAAATTAGTGGACTCCACTAGAAGTCATATTATTTCGGCCACAAGGGTTCCTCCTGGCACTGTCACACATTTGGGATCAGAGCCATTCTTATTTTGTTTCTGTGAAAGGCCAAAGCAGGAACAGTCCGCGTGCGGCACTCCTGTGGTCGTCCCAACTTAGTCTTGCCACAGGACCCAGCTAGGTGGGGGAGGCGGGAGTGCGGCAGATACTGTGCAAGTCTATAATCACTGCAAACTGCACCAGATGAGCTAGATCACAAAATGTTGACCGAAATCTTGAGATAGGCTTCCGATTCGAAAAGATCATTTTGACAGGTTTGAAATATTAATCACTGCACAGCATTATCTAAAAGCATTGCAGTCAAGCCAGGATGTCAGCTTGTGAAGGACTTTTTTCAAGTAGAAAAATTGAAAAAGACACAATTTGTTGCTCAGTGGGCACAGGAGAAAATATTTTTGCATATGTTTTTTGCAACTTATGATTGAATTAGTGGGGGAATCGCAAATTAGCGGGGAAAGTTCAAGCTATATAAGCAGTCATTTTTTTGCGGAGTGCGGTTTTCACAGATGGCCGGGAAGAAGTTCGTTCAGAAGTCGGTATCCTGGCCTGCTTCAAATCTTTGTATTATACCCTACGATAATCACTCTTACAAGCATACTTAAGTAATCATGTCGAATCGAAAAATATTTTGGAATTTCAGTTGGAATTTCATGAGATGACACATCTGTTTCAACTAACATGCTAGTCGCCATCCCGCGCCTGCCACGTGATGAGACTGTGGCGAGGTACCGGACTAATTCACCTTTAACAATCTAGTCCCGACTTCTTTAACCAAATTGTTTGTTTTAACGTGACGAACACTTCACACCTGGCCAACCCCGTTTCACTGTCGTGCTCCGCTGCCATGCTCTTTTGTCGGGCCATTTTAAATTCTGGATATCGATATTACTCACTAACTGGTTTTATTTACTGTTTTTAATACCTAGGGCTCGTAAGATATTATTCGTTAGGCCATGAGTGCATTACTACTTTCGTCACGGCATACAATGAACGTCGTCATAAACGACCGTTGAGTTGAAGCATTTGGCCCTAGTGAATTTAATTAAACGTTTGCCAAATTGTTCTAATTTACCTAAACGAAAACGTAGTCATCTTGGAACTTGCGTCGCCGAACTACATAACCGTGACAGTTTTATCAGTATCACTCCCAAAGGATATTTTTACGAACAACTTGCTGCATAATCTGAAACGACAACCATTGAAATTGAAATACTGATGCGTAGGTCAGTCCAGTACACTATAACGAGGCGGTTTTTGACCAATGACTTTTCCGGTCATTCAGCTTTTCCCAAAACGGAAGTAGTCAAGTAGTGTGTGTGTATGTATGTTATGTGTATGTTCGTGTAGGTGCATGTATGTGTATGTATGTACATGTGTGTATATTGTGCCCTCCAAACGGGCCACGTGTTAGATGCTCTGGACAAACACGGGGGCCACATCGAACTCTGGCAGGCGTTATCTGTGCGCAATAACAAATACCAACATTTGCGGGGTGCGCTGGCAGACCCTGTTGTCGGCAGTCG